TATATCCAGCGGTGCTCCCGGCACATGCACGCTCGACCACTTTGCTCCTATCGCACTGTGTAACGCACATATGTGGTACTACGAATATATGTGTGATGTGACGTATGTATATAATATATATATATATATATATATATATATATACGTACACGCGCGACCGCACACTCGTGCACGTTTGACCGCACGCGTCGCGAGAGCGAAATGGGAGCGAGACGGACGCGCGTCGACACACCTCCCCTGAGTGACTCGATGCGACTGAAGCGCCGGCCCAGAATAATTGCAATATATTCGACCGTACGTACGCGAACACAGTGCCCCCCAACAGTCGATTCCGTACTTCTTGCATGCTTGAAAATGTCGACTTACCGACAATCCTTGCGACGATTCTATCTTTATCGATTGTTGATCAATCTATCTAGAAACAAGAAACGGATACAATTTAAAGAGAGTAATATAAGATTATTAATTTTATGTATGTATCGAAATATATATATATATATATATACTCTCAATTATATACACTACTAAAAAAAAATAAGGAATACTTTTCAATAGGGAAAAAAAATAGGGAACACTTCCCTAAAAATTGAGCTATTTTCAGACCACTGAAACTCGACGAAAAATCATCGTAAACAAAAAATTAAAAATGCATTTTGAAGCTTAAAATATCAATTTTAATATGTTATCAATGTTTTTTAAAAATTTTTGGATCTTCCTTGTTCTGTACTTTAAAAGAGAACTCATTATTTCGTTCCTTGAAATTGCGTATTTTTGATACCTTGCAGCTCGATAAAAAAAATTTCTCGAAAAATTCAACTCAAGTTCCATAAACTACAACATTTTGCCTACAAAACGCTTCTTGTTTAAAAATAGCCCAATTTTTAGGATATAAAGTGTTCCCTATTTTTTTAGTAGTGTATAATATAATTAATACACATTTAATGTATTTAATTATAAGTATGTGAGAAATGCTCTTAAACAAATAAATATTAATCATTTATTGTCGGGATACATTTCAGGATATAAAAAAAGAAATACATAAGATTCTGTGAAGATATCTTGTCTTTAAGCACAAGTTTAAATTATATAAAAGTAATCAATCTTCTGGTCTGATTGACCTGCCACACGTTCAACGCCTCGTACTCCTCAATGCATTTGTACACGGGATCGGGTTTAAATCCCTTGCTCGTGCATCGCTCCAAAATGTCCGACACTTTGACTGTCTTCTTATCGCCGGCAAGTTCCCGTATCAGGTGGAAAATTCTATTGATCGGATTCTGTTGAGCATTATTTATGCGTTGTTCGGAATAGTTGATTGAATGTTTGGACATCTCCACCAATCTATTCGCTTCTGCAATGTCGTCCTTGTCGACCACGTTCGATAATCGTAGTCGTGCTAACGCTGTCGACAACCGAAGAATAGCTAGCAAATTACGAGCGGAAGTAAACGTCTTGTCATGACTGTTACGCGCTTCTTTTCGCATTTCCACATAAGAGTCTGCAACAATAGATTTTGTACAATTAGTATTTGTTGAATAAATTTGATTTAATATAAAATGTAATGATATAAATAACATTAATATTTTATATGTATAATAATTTAAGAGAAATAAAAGAAAACAAGACAATAACACATACACAATTCATACGTATACACACCTACAATATATTCCGTTAATTCTTCTGATACGATAGGTTCTTTTGTCTTACACAACTTTATATATTTTCTTATTAATTTCATATCTATAGCTTCTGTTTCAGTCGGAGGTTGCGAGCAATGTTGATGCACATATGTGATGTGTTGTGCTAATCTATGAAAGATGATTTGTATTTGCATTGTATTAACAAAACACAGAAACATAAAAATAATAATTAAATACCAAATAAAATACAAAATTAGAAATAATCAAGTTAAAAATAATATGTGAATATACTTACTTAAGATCGTTACCTCGGTCTGCGCGATCCTGAATAAGCCACAATAAGTCAAATCGCGACAACAATGCGGCAGGCAATTGAATATTTTGTTCAACCGTTCTTTGCGGATTGTATCTACCGTACGCCGGATTGGCAGCAGCCAATATGGATACTCTAGCATTCAAACGAGCCATTATGCCGGCTTTGGCAATAGATATAGTTTGTTGCTCCATCACTTCGTGAATCGCTGTTCTGTCCGCGTCTGCCATTTTATCGAATTCGTCGATGCAGCAAACCCCTTGATCCGCCAGTACCAAAGCTCCACCCTCCAATACCATTTGACCAGTTAGAGGATCCTTCATGATTGCAGCGGTTAAACCCACGCCGGACGAGCCTCGCCCTGTGGTATACTGTGATCTTGGAGCCAATCGTGTGATGTAGGATAATAATTGCGACTTTGCTACACCAGGATCTCCCATCAAGCAGATATTAATGTTGCCTAAAAATAATGAGAATAAGATTATTCCATCACATTCTATTTAAGATATTTCAGATACTAAAACAAAAATGGACATATTACCATTCAGTTTTTAGATCAAATATAATATACAAAATTTCGTTGATAATTGATTATATATTCTCACCTCGAATTTTAATGTCGCCTTTCTTCTTATCTGTTCCACCAACAAGAAGCAAAAGTAATGCCTTTTTCACATCTTCGAGCCCGTAAATTTCCGGGGCTAAGGAACAAGCCAACTTGTTGTAAAAATCGTCTTGCATTAGCAAACTTAATTCTTGATCTGTCAATTCGGCATTACCATCGTCTACCGTATCTATGTTATTGAGACATACTATTTTCTAAAATCAAACAAAAGATTAATTTAATCAGTCAAAGAAAATTGTATAATTGTAAAATTGAATTATATCTGTTCTTACATGTGCATCCAAATAAGTCTCACTGGAAAGCGCAGGCCCTGATCTAGCATTGAAACCTGTTTTCAAAAAGGGCAAAAATACACCAGTAACGATAATATGATCACCAGGCAAGCAATTTCTCGTTGTTTCGCCTCGACAAAAGATAGTTAAGGATCGTGGTATATGGCCAGTTGGAACTTGTTCGCTCTGTAAAAAAAAATTAATAGTATTTCAAGAAATATATATAAATGTTTAAATAAACAAAATATTTAAATAAACTTACATGTTCCTGCAATTTCAGCTCTTGAAATTTGATAAACTTTGAACCTTTTGTCTGTAAGTATAATCTGCCACCAGATTTGTTCACACGACATCCCTCACTTGGACATGTCCGTAATGGCATAAAACTTAAAGAATGTATCTATAATAATTAATTTTATGTGTAACTCTTAATATTTTGTATATATATATATTATATATAAAAATTATAAATTATTGCATTATACAATAACTACTGCATATAAAAACATACAAATAAAGTATAATTTTATTATTTATAAAGTATAATTTTTTTACCGGTTGGCTCACTTCCGAACCGCATTCATCACATGTGTATGTTGCTACAACAATCATTGGCTTAACTTCAGTAGTTTTAGTAACAATGCCTCTAACTGTCACCAATTTTCCAATCTTATCTGCCTTAATATCTCTTACTGAATATGCCTTTGCATCAGAAAAATCTTTAAAATACACTTCACTAAAAAAAATATTGATACTTTCATCAGCCCTAATTACTTCTTATTTTAACAAATGTCTAAATATAAAGTAAGTTTCCTTACAAACGACGCATCAGTTCGGGAGCATATTTAACTCTGGTTTCTTGAGCTTCACCCCTAGTACGAGCCTGTATTAATAATCGATGCTCCATATAAATATCCAATGAATCTTTAGGTAAAACAACTCTTTCTTTGAAATCAGGTAACATTTCTTGAACCAACTAGAATTTTTTTTTTAAATTCAAAGTTTGTTTAATTTTTACAAATAATTATAAAATATATGTAAATTTATATATTTTATATTTGTAATAAAGGAATTTGTATAATTTTATCTTTATGTGCCAAAAAAATATTCATACAGTGAATAGTTCTGAATATAGTAATATTTATGCAAGCATCATACATACATCCAAAACTAAATTAGTGTATCTTCGTGTATTATTAGCGACAGATGTAGCTAGTTCCTCATCAAATGATTGTACATCATCTAAATCGATCTCAAAGCTAATTTGTTCTCTGTGAGCTATCTTGGTCATCTGTTGTCTGTATTTAAAGGTCTTATTTTCTGTCTTATCATCCATTGCCACAAATTCCAAGAAAAAAGTCTTGAATTGTTCTGAAAAAATTATTGTGCGTGTGATTTCGTATCAAATTTATTACTAAAATATTATTTAAGAAGTTATTAAAATATTACTTAATATAAGTTAAGATTATTAAAAATAATTAATGACAAGCCGGTTATATAGACACATAGGCGTTTTCTTTGTCTCATAGAGTTGAGAAATTCTATAAAAATATAAAAGTCTCACCTTTGTCTTTAGTATAATCTCTCGCCACTTTGTTCGCCATGTTTTATAAATATTAATAGACACAATTTTATCTGAAATTGTTTTGCACCAAGTATTTTTATTTTTCAACTACTAATATTACGGTTAAATAAGGCTATGGCTTCTCTGTGTTTGCCTCCCTTTCCCGCGTAAATTAAAGCCATAAATTATAAAATATATTGGCGAGAACCTATAGAAATACTTTGAGCGACAAACGTGAAATCTCCAAAGATTGCTATTGGTCCGAATTGTTTTGGACAAGCACGTCAACAACATCATACGATTGGCTATCAAATTTTCGGGACTTTAAAAATTCTCTATTTCATAACCAATTGTGTAACATTGTGTTTTATCTATGACTACGTTTACACGTCACCCCTAATCGGGTTTAAGTGCCGGTCTACAATAGTGATTTAAGCTCTAAGCCTTAAGAAATTGACTAATCACAGTCGAGTATTCTCCTCATACTTGATCGTGATTGGTCAATTTCTTAAGGCTTAGAGCTTAAATCACTATTGTAGACCGACACTTAAGAGCAAATGGGAATTGCCCATTTCGTTACTCC